AGCAAGCATTAGCCGAGTTTTGAGGAGCTGCGATCCCTTCAGGTGACACTAGCAGTACTTACTCATTTCGCTTATCTGGAGATGATGCGGCTTGCAGTACCGGCCAAGCCTGTGTTGGTATTGCCCTGCGTCCCCGGGCTGAAGCTGCTCTGGTTCATTGGATTCCAAGCAGTAGCCGGATTTGTGCGGTTTGACTGGATGGCTCGTTCAAAACTTCGAAGTTGAACGGGGCTTATAGGTATCTGTTTGTATTTGCTGCCTACGACCTCACAAACTGGAGTGAGGACTCGGTAAAAGTCGACGGCTATCGTCAACTGAACGAGCTCCTTTGCCACAGAAGAAGCACGGACACTGTAGCGTATGCTGGGGATCTAAACGTTCAAGTTGGGAAATTGTCCACTGATGAGTTGCATCTGGGAGCCCAAGATTGTGTAGGCCCCAGGTAATGATAACGGTGAGCAGTTACTTCATTTGTGTGAAGATGCACGCTTATTTCTTACGTGCACTAACTTCCGACACAGCACTAGTCGAAAGATGACATGACCTCCACCAGCATTGAACCAGCCATGGACGCAAATCGGTCACATGACGGTCAGTGATCGCTAGAGAGGCTGCGTCCAAAACTGTCGCTCAATTTAGAGCACATATGTGGACACTGACCATGCACTTGTAAGTGCTGACCTGCGGGTGCTTTTTGGCTGTCGCCCTCGACGACCCTGTGAGCGCATAGACACCAGCTAAATTGCGAAGTAAGGTGTTCTGAATACGTATGGAAGTACGCTGGCGTTCGGGTCTAGCAAGCGCTCACTGAATACAGTTGAAGGTCACTGGTCGCAGGTTCACCGAACCTTACTTGAAGCAGGTAAATCATTATGTGGTAAATGCACTGGCAAACATAGACATTGGGTCACTTCGCAGTCCCTGGAATTTATCGATGCTCTCTGGCACGTTCTGGCTAGAAGCGAATATAACGAGACTCGCAAAGACATCAAAGCAATACGCGGTGCTAGCCTGAGGTGAGACCGCAAAGCGTGGTGGCCTTGTCGCGCGTCAGATATGGAAGTAGCCGCTGCGCTACGTAACCTTGTGGGTTAATTCGTTTGATACGAGAAACGGGCAGCAGGAGACCTGGTGTTAGCGAAACTATACTTAAGGAGAGTGAACAGCCTATCCACAACTTTTCAAAACGTTTGGAGCGGATTTATTGGATCCCTCACCGACCAGCGATCGCCCTGCTACCTGGGCTGTCCCTTTGGATCCGCCCTCTCGCTCGGAAGTCGAATGTGAGATCGCACTGCAGAAGTTGAATAAAGCCGCCAGACCAGATAATCTTCAACCAACACTGTCCAAATTCGGTGGCCCTGCTCTTGTTTATGATTTACACGAGTATCTAGTGAAACTTTGCAAGCAGTAAACTGTCCCAACCGGCGGAAGCCGCTCGGTTATTGTCCCGATCTTCAAAGGAAGCTCGCATTCGAAATACAGCAATCATAAAGGAATCAGTCTGATGCTCACCGCCTCCAAATTGCTTGCTTCTGTTATCCTTCATAGTCTGACAGGCGACCGTGAAAGCCAGATTCTTGAGGAGCAAGCCCTATTTCGTCGTGGTCGGGGATGCATCGGCAACATATTCACAGTACGTCAGTTGTTGGAGCACCGTCACATATATTGGCGGCCCACCGTTGTGTTCCACAACATCAAAGGTGACTTCGATTCAGTAGATCGGCGTGCCTTTTGGGATTGTCTGCTAAGGGTAGGTGCGCCTGAGAAGTAGGTAAATATTATCCGTGAGCTGTACACGCGTAGCGCGGTCAGACTGATGGTTTACAGCAAGCTGTCGTCTTCCTTTAATATCACCAGCAGTGTGAGACAATGATGCCCCTTGTCACCGTTCCACTTCAACTTCGCTGTTGATGAAGTCTTGGGAAGCGCGTTCACAGGACACGACTTAGAAGATATGGAGCTGCTCCCTGCTGAAAGAATTCTTGACTTGGAGTATGCTGACGATATTGTCATCATCTGTGACAGCTCACCAACGTGCCAAGCTGCACTGGACAGATGAGCACCAGCTGTCACCCGTTTCGGGCTATGCTTTGCACCCTCGAAGTGCAAAGCTTTTCTTCAAGATTGGCAAGGTCCGCTTCCTGCCCTGATCTTTGGTGGGGATCAGCTAGGAGTCATTCAAAAGTTCAACTACCTAGGTAGTTGTGCCAGCACCCTTGGAATGGAAGACGAGCTCACAAGCCGCATAGCAAAAGCTCAAGGTGCTTTTGCTAACCTTCGCCACCTATGGCGCCGGCGCGAAATCACGCTCTCAATGAAGGATAGCGTATATAATGCAGCCGTACTTTCGACCCTACTGTACGACTGTGAATCCTGGCCACTTACATCAGCCGACATAAAGAAGCTAGTTTCGTTCGACCACCGGTGCCCTCGCAGTTTGGCTCATAGCTGGTGAGAACACAGTGTGAGCAATGAATGTGTTCGACGCCTTGTTTATGGGGCAGGAAGAGGAAGCGAACCGTTCAGCACCGTTATTTCACGCACCAGGCTTCGATGGCTGGGCCACGTATGGTGCCTGACAGCCCACCGACTTCCGCGACGTGCGTTGTTTGCGAGCCGGCAGTGCGGGTGGAAGCAAAAAAGTGGCCAAGCGATGACGTGGTCAAGAGAAATGTAGGTCCTTCCTTAGAAGTTGGCCTCGGTTGTAGCCTCTCGGGTCCCTGGTTGGGGACTGAATGATGATGAACACGTTTGCTGGGATACACTTGTTAACATGTCTATGAGTAGACCACAGTGGCGTTCGTGTTGTGAGTTCTTTGTCCATCGCCCATCCGCTTCGCCTCCCCCTCCAAACACGATCTCAATTACTAGGCATTATATGACTTTTCGCGGCACAAGAACCAGCTGTTGGTTCTCCGGAACGATGTCCATCCGTTACTGGTAACAGCCAGCGTGCCACTGTTTTACTATTTTTATTTTTTGGTATTGAAGCACCGTAGCTGAGGTGTTTTGCACCTGCAGCTAACGTGGATAATGAATGAAATGAATTTTGGTTTGAATAATTAGTGAACTTTTGTGGAAATAGGCTTAACATTAGCACTGAATCATATTCTAAGTCCAGTATAAAGTACTGAGAGCGGCGACAAATAGCGACTACCTAAATGACGCATGCGTTTAAACGGTGTTTGATTCTGTATGCGCTGTGCTGTCCAAAAAACTTTAACGGCATTCTCACTATATCAAATAAGTATATATATATATATATATATATATATATATATTATACACAATCTGTGGTACAGATATTGTGCCATCGGAATCATGGCTGAATAGGAAAACAATATGAATAATAGGAAAAGAGCAACAAGAAATGCTTTTTTTTGTCAAGTTTACCACTCACAGATTTTGAAATTTTTTTCAGTTTCTTCTTTTTTAGGGGGGGGGAAGAAGGGACACTGCAACACACTGAGGCACACGTCCGCCATTGACATCGATCTTGAGCCATGGCTTCCAATGTCTTCAGCCAGCAAGTATCCGCATCTCTCTGACCCCAACCAGGTAGTCGACAACAACCGGCCGAGGCCAACTGTTTCGTCAACTTTTTCATGCGGCTTTTCCATGTTGTAGGCTGTCCACCAGACCGTCTCTTCCAGCCCTGTCCAGCAAGTGCAAACAACGCACGACGCGGGTAACGCTGGACAGGCATGCGCAATACGTGTCCCAACCCTCGCAGTTGATGCAGTGAGATGAGCTCCTCGAGCGAGTGGCTTCCACGTCCCAAGACACGCTGTCTAACTTCCACATTGCTTACGTGGTGCTGCCACCACACACGGGCAATGGACCGCAGACAGCGGTGCTCGAAGACGGATAGCCTGCGCAAATCATCTTTACGAGTTTGCCAGGTCTCACATCCGTACAACAGTACAGCACGAGCGGTTGCACAATAGACCCGCCCTTTGATGGAGAGACGAATGTCGTGGCGACGCCACAAATGCCTCAGCCTAGAAAAATCGGGGCCTGCTCTCGAGATGCGCATCAAATGTCGTCTTCAATAGCCCCGCCAGCAGTGATGCAACTTCCCAAGTAGACAAAGCTCTCCACAACCTCCAGTGTCTCACCAGCAAGCGTGAGTGCAGGCAGAGGCACCTGCCAGTCTTGAAGGAGAGCCTTGCATTTGAATGGCGAAAAGTACATACCGTACTTTGATGCTTCAATCGTCAAGCGTTTTAATGCAAGTTGGACGACCTGTGGATCGTCACCCAGCAAGACGATATCATCAGGATAATCCAAATCAACAACTCGACTACCTGGGAGGAGCTCAACGCCAGCGTTCAACGAATCGCTCAGAGCGTTCTTCAGGACATCCTTAATGACAAAGTTGAATAGGAACGGAGAGATAGGGCATCCTTGTCGAACTCCACTGGAGACCACAAAGGTAGGCGAAAGCATGCCATAAGCCCTAACCCTGCCCGAGGTCAGACTGTATAGAGCGCGCAGTATGGAGACGAACTTCTCGGGGACACCGTTCCTCAGAAGGCACTGCCATAGTACGGTACGATCGACAGAATCGTAGGCTGCACGGATATCCAGGAACACAGCAATCGTTGGCCTCTGATACACATGGCGGAGCTCGAGGATCTTGCGAAGTGTGAAGATTTGATCGTTGCAGCCGCGACCAGGGCGAAACCCAGCTTGTTCTTCTCGTTGCAACGATTCGCTTGTTGGGGATAGCCTGCGAAGTATGATGGACACCAGCAGCTTGAAAACGCCGGGGACTAAGCTTATTCCTCTGTAGTTGGAGCAGATTGTGCGCAAGCCCTTTTTGAAGATGGGGACGACTATCGATTCACCCCAAGATGATGGAACCTTCTCTTTCGACCAAATTTTCGAGAACAAATAAGGAAGAGCAACTAGTCCACAATCTTCAACATAATTGTCAATGAGCCAGCATATTGGGTGCATACTATTTCATTAGTTGTTGCAGTCAAGGCACTTACTTCTTCTTGCGTGGCATCAATATGAAAAATGTGGTCAAAGTGATATTTTCGTTTCGTGGCATTCGGCAAGTGAGCTACCAATTCTCCGTCCTCATTCTCTTGTAACCAGCATTCCTTCGCACTTTTGCACTCGATCGGACGGATGCGGCAAAACACCCGTATGTTCCCACGCAGTTCAATCAGCGTGTTGTATGTCAAGCGTCTTTGTTGGGCCTCTAGACGATACAATGCTCTGGTTTCGGATAAGCGATCATTTTGTTCATTGTACATTCTGTTCATTCGTCTCACTAAGGGCGACAGCTTAAAAAGTAAACAAGGATAATTGATGGGACCAAGTTGCCTGGGAATTAACAAGTCGGCTACAAGTACATCTATAGTGCAATACAAGCAGGTGCCAGGCGTATGAATCCAGGGTCCTCTATTCAGGAGTAGACATAATCAAATTGTAACAGCGTACTTACCCAGAATGTAGATGTGAGCGCTATAAATGTTCACCATCCCTCATCGACAAGCAGGCTATGAAAGTCGCCTGAGTTTCACGACGTTGGCTACGCAGTGAAACCACTACAAACTCATAAGAAAAGCTGGCTTTCGGTAAAATCTAGAATTACTAATCTAGAAGCTAGAATATAAATCTAGAATTATTTATCAAAATCTAGAACAGTCATATGGAGATAACGATAGTTAGACCATGGATTTGAGGTTCATCTGTTATTCCGGGTAGCAAGTTCGTTGTCCATGCGCAAGCCTACCTAAAATGATCACTTTACTATCGTAAGTTAGGTCAGTAAAGCAGATTAACTCAAGGAAACATAGAAACCGGGTTTAGAAATGATATCACTATAAAGAGATTAAGATTGGATGGCTACAGCTGAAATGCTGCGAGAGATCTTCCAACAAACAGTCAAGCGAGAAGCGATGCTGATCAAACTTGTAAGTGGTGGAATGTATGAATAAAACACATTTCTTTTCACATTGGTGATGGATATGTGTACTGTGAGTCTGCACACTGTATCCCTCTTTCTATGACAAATTCTACCTCTTGGAAACCAACGAACTTCGCTCTCACGTACGAAAAATAGCAGCAGTGTGCTTTCAGAAGCGAACGGTGCTGTGTGACACCAAGTAAGTAAGTAAGTTTATGCCACGCATTCGACATCGATGTTGAGAACACGCAAGTAATGCCTCTTCCGTGGGAAGAAAACCTTCCTAGATTTGAATGGACATCGTCTTTACATTTGATGTCGCCTGTGAATTTTGGTAACTTGTTTGCGAATGTGACGAGGTTCAGTAGCTCAGACCTGAGCAATTCACGAAGATATATCTAAATTCTAGTCCACAGGGACAAAGGCTAACTAGCAGTTTTACGCTTTTCCGATAGAAACGTTTACGGAACTAATGCAGATATCGCCATAACGAAGGAGTGATATTCTTGTAACTGTATTAGGAATATAGCTGAAGTATGAATTATCTGGAGGAACTATCACGAACGCTCAAAGATCAGGGGCCCGTCAAAAACAAAGAACGTCTAGTGTTTTTGACCAAATGATTTAATACGTCTTAGATAAGCGAAACCCTGCAATCTCGGCAAAAGAAAGTGAATTCCAGAGGGAACAAATGGATCACTTTCAATCCCACAGATTCATGATTGCGAGGACACTAATTGTATAAAATCCAATAATCGCGAGAATGTGAACATAACCCTAAGCATGATCAAAAGAGACTCACTGTTTCAACGAATTCCTGGACGAAGCGTTTCAATCCAGGAAGGATTTCTTGTATATCTTGGCAGCCTAACTTTGCCTGCTGTAACGGTTGTTCCAGCCGCCGCGGTAAAGCGGCACTGTCAAGTGCCACACTCTCCTTCTGGTTTTTCTCTTCTGCGACCAAAGCCTTTGGAAAAAACGAAACTGCTTTTGTTATGTCTTGGATAATAATTGCGGAGATGGAAACCTCTATCTGTAAGGTGAGTAGTTTTCCGTTTAGTATGTAAAGTGGAACAGAGCCGGTTTTCTTCATAAAAGCTTAGCTAATTTAATCCGCGCTGGCATCCGTAATGAACCTAAAACATGCGCTATTTCTGTCTTTCACAACGTTGGATTTGATTGGTATTTGTATCTTCTGATTGTCCATTTGTTTTACTGACAGTACATCCCCTAGACAATTACGCCCCGGTGAGTCGAGCGTTACGTTGATCCTCGCTTTTGTTGGCTCGTTCTCCATTCTTTAGAGCCTTTACAATATACGTTGGGTCCAGGTGTCACTACTTTCTCTACCGTTCCTTATTTAACATGCATCGTACGTGTCATCGCTAGCGACTAATATTCGAGGCGCAACCAACACATCTCAGATGGACACCTCGTCACCTAGAGGCAATCGAAAGTACATTACTAACGACAAAGAACTTCCTGACCTGCGCGTAGCCTTCCGAGGGGGCAAATAACTAATTTAAGCTTCCATCAATAATCTATTTGCATCGTTAACAAGCGTACTATTTATATAACATTAAAAGTGTAGAATCCGGCAAAGTATGGTGTCGTACGACGTTGCTTGTTTGAGAAGCTACGGTGCGACCGTCAATAGCTGTTAACGGGTCGCTGGCTAGCAATACGACATGTTCGGGAGCTGAGCCAACTGCTATTGGCATGTGTGAATAGTTTGGTTGTGATCAGTGGTCAATGGCTGTTCGACAGTCTCGGGTTGGAGCACAACACGTCTACCAGCCAAACAGGAGCTGAGCCACTTATCACCGGAACGTCTGAATGGTTGTTAATCACTTTAGTGTCTGACTCACACCCCATGACCCACGTTGAAACCCATTTACGATCGAATAACCTGCCATTAACTGCTTAGCACTGACTTAACTTTCAGCCATGCTGTGACCCTTTTAGCTAACTGAGGGCTGTTGATAGCCCCTGCTTGACTGAAGGGATCTGTAGCTGCTGGTGTAGGACTAGATGCCACCAACCTGGACTACTCAGTCATTCAACCGTCTGGACCAAGTATTAGTGCACAAGGTTCTGAATTATGAAACTAGCGATCCCATTTGGGGCTGGATATGCGATTTTCGTGCTCAATGTCATCGGAATGTGAGGGTTCACAGCACTCTATCCGAACCAATCGAATTGCTTTGCAGTGTACCTCAGGGCTTGGTTTTTTGGAGCTGCCTGTCCATGGCTTTCATAAATGATATTTTGTGGGTGCTGTTTTCAAGCTTCCTACTATTTTCCGATGATCTAAAGATATGGAGTGCTATCACTAGAGTGGAGGATCACACAGCCCTACTTGCTGATCTGGATAAAGCATACACATGGTCTACTCAGAACATGCTGGAGTTCAACAGGAAAAAGTACAAAGTTCTGAGCATACGCCAACAGAATACCCAGAACTACCGGCTAAGGCCATAAATTATACAGCAAGCTTCTCCAGCTTGCGATCTCGGTATGCACGTGCAAGCTGACCTTGGTTGTTTGAGGCAGACTGAAAAGGCATCAAGGGAACCAAACAAGCACTTCGGCCTCCTTCGTAGGGCCTTCCGGAAGTGCGTCTCAATATTTCCGAAAATGTTTAGCGCTTACGTAAGGCCGCATAAGGAATACCCTATCCAAGCGTGGCCACGCCGGAAGAAGCACTACTTCACAGCGCTCGATACTGCACAACGCAGGAAGACGAAGAACGTCAGTAGTTTGTCCCGCATTCCCTACCTACTCAGGCTGAAAACCGTCAAAATATGCAGCGGACGTTATCGGTGTCTACAGAAAGATCTTATACAGGTGTATCAGTCCTAAGGACCCCAGAGCACACATGTTACTATCTTTGAGACGCAGCTCAAACATACCTCTGAGGGGGCATCAGCTTAGGCTGGCCAGGCAGTACAGCCGAATGGAATGTCGAGGAAATCTTTTCTCCCTCCGAGTGTCACAGTCCTGGAACGCCCTCCCGGCGCGTCTAATTAATGGTTCACCCTAACCCTATTCAAAAAACAAAATGACGACACCCCATCACATTTATACGAGGAGCTAAATCCCATTCGTTGCAACGAGACTGGACCTTACCGTGGTGGGACGGTGTGTGCACCACTTACATCAATTGAGTTTTACTGGATGGGGTCCTCAAGCCCCTTGAGAGCGACTCCTATCATTTTGGTTAATGGTTAGAGGTCAGACGAACGCAGTCGCATGGTCTTCCATGTTGGGGTTGCAAATGGAGTAGGGTCCATTTCTGTAAAACCAAATCCTTGCCACCTCCCCGCTGCACTGCGGACAGGTTTTTGAGCTAAAGACTTCGGTTGTGGACCCCAATTGTTCTCTTGTCTAGGTCTGGGGACACCCTGGCAGTACCTCAGCTCACATACAACCATGACAATTGCCACAGCATCTAACTATATCCTGCATCTGCCGTCGCGCAGCTTATTAATGGCAGTCTTATTTGCTTCATACAGCAGAGCAGATATTCGAAAATATACTAGTGCTGGCGCCTTCTTTTTTCCATTCCACCTGTTCCCCTTAATCCCCTCCCAACTCTATTACCAGCTTTCCTTCTAGAATTCCTAGCCAAAGTGAAAGCAGCCCCAATGCCACTGCAGTTCTACCATCTGACGCTATCTTCCTCCACCACCCACTGGACGCCATTTGCAAACAGCTCCTTAATACACCACATTGTCCCGTTTCCTTGGTGGGGTTCAATGTCCACACTCCAAGACAAACAGGTCAATAGACTGCACTGGCACACACCTTAGACATGGTGGGTATCGACGTGTGTTGTGTGTCCAAACTCCAAGCAATGATCCTCACGGGGTTGTTGAATTAACGGCCCGCGGCCTGTTGCGGTGATCACTGGTCAAGCTTGGGTGGGTATCGTCCTCAGTTCCAAGGCTGAGTCTCCGTTAGTTGATGGGATTCCTGTGAACTGCCGTTTGTTTGCAGCCCATTTGATGACATCAAGTAAGGTTGATTCACGAAACAGTACTAGAAGCTGTTTGTTGGTGGTTTCAGTTTATGGCTCCGTCGACTACAGTTCTGACGCTGCTAAGGACGCTTTCGACCATAAATTAAACACATTGCTTCGCAGTGCTACCAGTTCAGCTATCGTTGTTGTTGCATGGGATACGAATGTTCAAATAGGTCACTTGAGCTCTTCAGAAGCTCAGCTAGGTGGTAAGGATGTACTTAACTCCGGCCGTACGGACAACGGTGAGCATCTGTTACAGATGTGTGCCGAGTGCTAGCTGGTTCTTTGTAAGACCGCGTTTAACTACCGTAGGCGCCGAAGTGTCATTTGCGGACCGCCTATAACTGGCCAGCGTGGACGCAAATTGATTACGTTGCCACAATTTACAGGTGACGTGGTTCCATCCTGGATTGTCACGCGTTCTGGAATTCCTGCGTCGAACCTGATCATGCTTTGGTACGCCGTCGATTTCCATGAAGTTTAACGGCAGGCGTACCAATCTTCGCCCTTGATTGACAAATGTGATGTTATCTGTCCCTGTTCAACCAAACCTACCAGGATGCCCTATGTACCGAACTTTCACTCCCTAGTTCTAATGACACTGAGCTTCAGTGGAATAATATCTCGGCCACCATGCACGACGCAGGAGCCTCTACTTGTGGTATTATCAGTCGTCACTGTACCAGTCACTGGATATCCGTGAATCTGTTACGATCCAGAAGAAAACTCTAGGCTAGTTCTGAGCAATGTGACCAGACGGGCTATTAGGCGCAAACTAAAGTGTAGGTTGCGTGCTGATAAGCAAGTCTAGTGGACAAACAAGACTCAGGAAATAGAGGTAGCAAGAGTAGTAGGAAATTATCGTAGGCTCTTCCAAATGATCCAGATCACAGGTCCCAAGAAACCAGGCTTCAGTGAAAAATTAGAGACAGGGTGCGTGTCATTCTTCACAATAAGGAGCATCGTATGGCTCGTTTGGAATGGCACGATGGAGATCAGTACAGTTAGCTCCCTACTTCTGGACCTTTTACTACTCATATGATGCAAGATGAGCAATGGAAGATTAGGTTAGTCAAGTCAGAAGCTGAGGTTCTAAACGCGATCATAGCCCTCAACCGATTTCCTGCTGTTAGCCCGGATTTCCTCCCACCAGCACTATTTAAGAATGGAGGTGAGGTCCTCTGCAAAGCAGTGACTACCCTGCTCGAACAGTCAGGAAGGAATAGAGTGTTCCGGCTAACTTGAGTGAATCAATTGTGGTTGAAATAAAAATGTAGGACAGTCGCACCGACTGTGCTAATAACAGTTATATTAGGCTGACGGCAGTTGTGACAAAATTACCAGCCTCAATTCTCGCTCGTCTATTCACTGCGCAACGGGAAACCGGGATTGGGGAACAGTAAGCGGGCTTCCACACAAAACGTGGGTCCACGGCAAGTGCTAGGACGGCACCATACGTAATGCAGGCCGCCAATAGCTGTGTTACTGGACTTCAGGATTGCGTTCGATTCGGTTGCTCGATCCATCCTGTTCGAAATAATTGTGCGGAAAGGTGTTCCCATGAAATAGATGAACATTCTACGAGCCCTGTACTCGAACACCACAGATCGCGTCAGGATCTGCCGTGATTTCTGGGATATCATCCGGACAATAATTGGAGTTCATCAGGGTTGTCTTATTTCCCTATTTTTGTCCAGTCATCAGCAGTACGCCGGTACGCAGTACCGACGGTACGCTGCCACCCAACCAATACCAGTCGCACGTTGGTTAAGGTCATTGCGTGGGTTGCCGGTTAACTACTCAGGCTGAAACCTGCACCTTCGGATTACAAGACACGATTGTACTCTTTAAGGCTGCGAGACGGCCATTTTTGTTTAACTTTGTCGTGGACTTCATTATGTAGTTCCCTTGCGCTGTCTCACGATGCAGGCCTCAAAGTGCTGCCTGGTAGGAGTCAATTGATCTAATTTATGCGGACTATATTGCCATGTATATTACCGACTTTTGGGCGGCCCATTCAACTCTGAATAACTTCATTAAAATAGGCCCATCATTTGATATGCGCTTCACACTTTCAAAGTGCCAAGTATTGTTACAGGACCATCAGCCACTTAAGGTCCATACGCCCCTTGACTGCGAGGAACTCGAGGTAGATTATCTCTTCACGTACCTTCGCAGCTGCCTAAGCAACGATATGCGCATAAGCACTGAAGTAAGTTCACGTGTTGCAAAAACCTGAACTACGTTCTTGAATCTGCGACATCTGTGAGGTCAGAAAGGGGTTTCCTTCAGTCTGAAAGGTCGTGTTTCTAAGACCACGGTGGGAGCCGTCCTACTCTATGGGAGTGAGACTTGGCGCCTTTAATATGAGAAACTGTGGCGCCTTCAAGTTTTTCATCGTCCCTATCGGAGAAGTATTGAAGGTTCAGGTAACGGCGGTGTGTCCAAAATTATGATGTGCTTAGGCCAGTGTTAAGCAGTGATATTCATGTCAATCCCTTCTAAGCTGCGTTGGCTTAGGTACATACTACGTTTGCCTGGTCACTACTTACTGATGAGGGCGTTCTAATGTTTGCCAGATGTAGGGTTGCGCAAATTTCGAAGTGAGCGAAAATTAACTTGACGACTGAAAATGAAGTCACTCACGACGAAACTCTGTGCCGTTCGTCCTTCTCGCTTTCCAGGCTGGAGTCCACGCGATCCGCCTTGTGCTTGGCTTGAAATGATACAGGACATGGCTCATAGTCCTCAACACCAGCTGCCTGTCTGCTGTCGTGTCCTGGCCGGACTGCTTGTTTAAAGTGTTTGGTGCTGAGTTATCTGCGGGGTAACGGCTAAGTATGCCGTGGGGCAGAGAAAGCAGTAAGGAATCTGTCTCGCCGATGTTGCCTTATCTTTGCCCGATAGGCAGCTTTCTGTGACGGCAGACTCTTGACAAGGTGTTGTCACCTTGACACTGAATTTTCGTTTAGGGTATTAAGGTGTTGCGCTAGGTCCCACTCCACTCCTTTTTAGCATTTTTTCCCACAGCTCATTGTGGTTATACGGCAGCGAAGCAGTAGTTCAAACGGCTGATGTAATGCTTGTGATGATGATGGTGGTGGTGGTGACGATGATGATGATGATGATGATAGTAATGAGGATGATGATGAATACTGAATATTGAAATTAAAGAGCGAGAAGTAATAAGTCTGTGTTGCTCCGTCATAGTTAGATAGGGAACCTGCACCGGATCAGGTCGCCGATCCTGCGCGGTGGCAGCATATTACGGCTGCACTACATCTTATCCGGGTACGATAAGCTCCGCATACCTGTAATTCGCAAAGTGTGTTTTGAGGAATTGCTTACATTCCGACACCGATTTCGCCTCGACTATAGTCTCCGGTAGCTTGTTCCAAAATTTGACCACTGGATGCTCTAAATATAGACGGTGAGCGATACGCGGTACAGATGCCCTGTGTGCTGCTTGGTGCGCGAACCTGCAGCAGCGGTCTGCGCGTGAGGAAGTGGCCCAGGTGTAATATCCGGTGCTTCATTATGAAATCAACACGAAGCCAACGACATGAAAGGGTATACGGACCTATTCACCTACACTGATCCTCGTTCGACATACCCCGTAAACTGGGGATGAGCCGGGTAGTTACATGCTGAACCTGTTCCATTCACTGAGCTTCACCTAGTGTGATCGGAAAATAGGCGAGTAAGCCGTACGCAGGCACCAGTCTTATCATGGAAGAGAACAGGAGAGTGGCAATCTCTTCAGAATAAGTGTAGAATCTGCGTCGAAGTGCTCAAAGCAGGCGTGGTCCTTTTGCGTACAGTTTGTTCGTGTTGTCGACGGACTTCAGATCACAGCGTCAGAGTACACCTTGGTCCTTTACGGCGCTCGTGGGATTTAGCGGTTGACCGGATAGCGTGTACATGCGCCCATTACAATTCTTCCCCAGACTCATAGATGACGAATTGACCTGGTGGACCGGTAGATCAGCCTATGCAGATTACAGTGATAGGCGATCGAGGTCCTACTGAAGGATGTCACAGTCGTCGGAAGAATCCAAAGCCATACAAATCTTTAGGTCGTCTGAAATCAACTTAGATAACATCTAATGATTTCCCCTGGTTCAACACCAGTAGCCATCCGTACCGCGTCAACAGCATATTGGTGATGCAGGAGCGCCCCTTCGTAAAACGGTGCTGTACGGGCGTGAGAAGTCCTTTCAAATCTAATAGCTGGAGGAGACCGTTCTTTATAATCTTCTCGAGCACTTTCGCCAAATTAGAGGTCAGACAAATCGGTCGATAACTGTCTACTTTAGTCGCGTCAACGCCCTTCCGAATTGGTTTCCCTACCGAACGTTTCCAGTCGCTCGGCAATGCACCTTCAGACAACGATCTGTTGAATAGATCAGTCAGACCAGGCGAGATGATGCCAGATAGGGACCTAAGAACTAGCGGATGGGGGCCGTCAGGTCCGGCAGGCTTCGTGCAGTCAAGACTGGCGAGTAGAGTGCGGACACCTTTCTCATCACATTCCAGGTACTCGAGTTCCGTATGAACTGCACACGTCGAGTTCGACGTACCCGCATGCCAATTTGTAAATATAGAAGCAAAGTGCGCCGCCAATGCGGCCGCACTTTCAGTGCTGGAAGTCGGAGTCTGTCTATCCGAGTCCGCTAACACTGCTAAGTCACCTGCGAGCCTCGGGTGTCGCTGCACATAAGCAAAAATCTTCTTTGGGCCGACGTCGCCGACGTTGAGCGCTCCTTTTCAAACTGTCGACACTTTCGTGCTTTTGCATTGTCGCATAGATTTCGCTGCCTCGTGTAGACCACACAATCATCAATAGAGGAAGACACGAGGAATTTATTCCATACTAGGCGTCCCTGTGAAACTAATTGGCCCTACCGTTTGTCGAACTAATGTGGCTTCACCGGTTCAGCTTTCCTGTAAGGAGGGTTACGAAATTAGTGCAGAACGATTGTACACCCTATTTTATAACCGAACAACAGAGTTCAACAGATGAATAATGCTGCAGCAACCAGTCCATTTCACTAGGGGCTCGATTGAGACGATGGAAGTCCGTTTTCAGTAATTGTCAGATGGCTCCAGCAGACGCGAGTAGAGCAGCGGCAGATCCAGGCTGGCTAAGACCATCGAGGGGTCTCTAGCTGCCAGAGGTTCCATGACCTGAATGGCATATACACGTTGCTCGCAACTAGTTAATAGTAGGTCTAAGCCCGATGGAGCGGAATACAGTGAAATTCGCGTCGGTTGGAAGCCGTGTCTTGTTACCCCAGTCCCAAATATCGTCTCCGCAAATTGCGCCTTGATTTCCCAATGACCGGGGTGAAGTTGGGCCTCAGACCACAGTATTCGGGGGAAGTTAAAGTCACCCATCTTCAAGAAGCAGGGCCATTTCATGTAGGTTCTGATATGCGGCAACCAATCCAGACATCGACTTCGCGGGCTGCGATAAGCCGCACCCACAAACCATTCTTCCTGTCTCAGCCCGATCGAGTACCATAGCTACTCGCACAGGCCAGCTTTGCTACGGTAGGTGTGTACCAGTCTCCCGCACAGCGAGGACCGAATGTATAACAGCACGCCACTGCTCTAGTTTGGTAGTCTATCTTACTGGAAGTACGGGTAGCCACTGAGCTGGACTTTCTGGGTAGTGACTTCAGGATTCAACCAGCTTTCGGCCAGTCCCAATATGTCCGGAAGACGAGAGGCAACGAAGTAGATGGTCACGTTTGTTCATTCAAATACAAACATTTGTGAACGCTACACGCAGCCCGCGGTTGGAACCGCTGGGCGCGCATAGAGCGTCATCGACCTGGTGATCTAGGTTCGGCGGATCCGGATGAAGGTGAAGATGATGACGATGATGATGAGGAGGAAGAGGAGGAGGAGGAGGAGGATGATGATGGCATAGCCAATGACCATCAGTTGATGACATTAGTACGGAACTATTCACATTTGTGCTAATGCAAGCCCTTTGAGCAATCATATATCTCGAGCGTTCTTTTACCTAGACTGATTTTTAGCTTGTAATTTTCACACCAACTATCCTGCCAGACTAGTTAAGCATGTGCTTTTATACCCGTCATAAATTAATGCTCTTTTGCATCACGAGTAAACTGGCGGATTGATGTTGTTGCTCAAATCGGTGACAGATGGTAGTAAATTTCCAGCAGCGTAATGAAATTCATAGTGAAATGCCGAACTGTTTAGTGTGTTCCTCGGAAAATTATATCAACCACTAAATCACTTACCTTCAAGCATTCGTGTGCACGTTTTTCCTCTGCGAGCTCCGCCTCCAGCTTTTTCAGTTGCAGTTTCTACGGAATTATAAGAATACAGTACAATGAAGAGCATACAGCCCTACGGACAAGTTGCAAATTTAGGGAGCTTGTTGAAATACTGCATCGTAGAACCAGTGATCGCTCTCCTCTGATTACCGAAAGTGTTAATGGTGTGGGTCATTTACTCCATGACCCAGCTGAAATCTGTGATGCATTCAGTGACTTTTTGCCTCTACCATGAATCACGAATCTGACCCGATACCTATGTGCACAGAGCTCACAGTAACGAACCTCTTAAGCAGAGTCTATATCTCGCCAAACACTATCCATCAAGTTATCAAATCGATCATACCATCTTCCAAACTGGGATCTGATTGAATGTCCCCAACCACCATTAAACTAGGAGGGCCTGATATACCATGGCTCCTGAAGAGCATGTTCACACTATCGCTGGAATCTGGCCCCTTTCTAGACCAATAAAAAACATCATTTGTTATGCCTCGGCATAAAGGAGCTCCCAAACAGACGACTGATAACCACCGACCAATCTACCAGACGCCGATAATCGTTCAGCTATTTGAAAAGCTGGTCAGAATGGAGAGGATGAACCCTGCTGATCCTATTGGCCTGATCAATAATTCGCAGCATGGTTTTCTCAATAAACGATCGTGCACCACCTGTCAACTGCATTACCTTAATCAGATTTCAGAAGCAATCGATTCCGGTTATGCAGTAGTAATCTTGCGTTCGACCGAGTACCGCACAAGCGACTGTTACAAAAGTTGGAGAACTTTGGGATCCAGGACCCATTGCTAGGTTGACTATCATCATACCTGTGTGATCGTCATCAGGTAGTCACAGTAAGTGATTATCGCTCTTCCTCAGGCTCAATCACCAGTGGAGTCATTCAAGGGAGCGTGCTCGGTCCCTTACTCTTTTCGCTCTACATCAATGACATTACCACGTCT